ATTGCATCAGAAATATTCCCACATTCTTTATTCGTTTCTACTAGGCTTCAAAGAGAGTAAAATCCTGGAAACTGGCTATTGGTATTTTGGCATGGCATTAGGGAATCCAGCTTGTTTTGTAAGACTGAGAGTGCCTGTCTTGCATTTGATACCTAGGCCAGGCCAGTCCTCTGCAGCTTTTGGCCTCTCTTTGTGTGTGTTTAACATGAGAAGGTTACCTAATTGAGAAGATTGTTGGCATTCCTTCATGTTCTGCAACCACATTAAATTTGCAAAGGGATCCAAAAATTTTATTGTTTCTGTTGTAAACAGATTAGACTGGATTAGTGGTTAGCATTTTGCATGTTTTATTCTGTTTACCCGTTTAGTCCTGAAAATCTTGAATTGTGTTGCATGTTGCAAATAGCCCAGGCACTCTTCACTTGCTTTTGTTACTGGTGGCCAGAAACGTTCATTTGCTATATGCTTTAGCAGGGAGAAGGGGACTGCGCAAATAAATGACAAATCCTCCTTCAGACCTTCTAATAACCACTGTTTTTCATGAGGTATAATTTTCTGATGAAAGCACATTTTAGCTCTAAAACTCTGGCATTACGTGCTGTAATAAGGAGAGATGGATACGCATGTGCGTGCACGCATGTGTGCTTTTGTACTTGGTAGATCCCAGGATTCATCCAGAACACTACACAGTCCCTCAAGTTCTCTTGATTTGAACTAAATGTTTAATAAACGTCAGTAGAATATTATGCAAATCTGTAAACAAATCTATGTTTTCTTTCATTATTATGTGAAAGATGGGCAAGTACAGAATATTTCTATTTTAAGGAAATCCTAAGGAATGTTTACTTATCTGTCACACAAGGTCAAATTTACCCGGTCCATACAGCTGAGTTCTGAGCTGATCAGGGCAAAAAATTTAACAATTCTTTCATGGAGATTAACAGAAACTGTTTCATGAGCTTAGTGTCTCCTTTTTGGAGGGCAGGAGGCAGTGGTACTTTGATAGAAGACTAGTAATGCTGCCTTTATCTGCTTGCAAAAACCTTCCCTCTTATTTATTAGGCTGAGCCTCCATCTTACATGCTGCCACTTTGCTGCTTCTATTTTTTAGTTTTCTTTCTATGAATGTGAGGGGCAGGATTTCCACCTACTCATAACAGTAAGACCTGTTTTTTATAAACCACCTAGATTATCTTGACAGTGCTAAACAACCGTAACAAGACCTTGTTGCAGCTTCCCGCCTTGACCGTCATGTCCCATCCTGTTCCTCCTTTCTGACCCCCACTTGCAAAAAAGACAATTTTAAAAATATTTGCAGAAATGGCTAAAAGCATGAGCAGAAAATCCAGACCAAAAGTTTGAAGTGAGATATTTGGATTGTAGTCTTCTTTGTATGCAAACTTTATCTGGTTGTCTGAAGACTGGCTAAGCATAAAAAAACCAACCAACCAACCAAACAAACAAAAAAAAAAACCGAAAAACCCCACCCAGCTCAACAATTAGTCTTGTATGTGGCTGTTCAAAGGCATAAATTAAACCCCATTTGCATACTTTATACAACTGTTTTTAAGTTTCAGCAAGTTCCCCTGCTCCCCCTTGTTAATGGCCTCATACGGTTGAGGTCTTTTGTTTCTTGGTTGAAAAAATACATAGTACTCACTATGTTTGCACTTTGCTTTTCTTTGCAGTGAGAGGAGTTTGACTGCACAGCTTAAATGGTGTAAGCAAATTCCAGAATATCAGTATTATTTTTCTTTAGGGCTTTAAGAGAGCATATTGTTTGTCAAAAGTACTGGAAGCGTGGTGGTTGTGTGTCTGGGTACTGTCACTACCAACTGATGTAGGCCTAATAGATTTTTTGAGAAGGATTGAATGGCAGAATATTCATGTTATGAGAAGAGACGTCTGAAAACAAAATGTTAGATGGCTTCTTGGTTTGTATTGTCTTCTTGATTTCCATAGTTGCTTGAAATTGGGCTAAAGATATTTGAAAAAAAAAGACTGCCTGTAATCATTTCAACAATAAAACTGGTTAGGGAGGTTGTATGTTCTTGCCTGTCTGTGTGGTCTTCTGGTTTTCCCGGAGGCTCTCTAGAGTAGGTGCTTGTCACTATTCTGGAATAGCCTGCCAGGCTTTGCTGTTCCTGGCAGAGATGTTTTTAAAGAGCCCGTGTTTCCAAAATCGGAACTATTGCTACCTAAGTCCCCAACAGGTCCTTTTCAAAATGGATGGAACTTGTGATTGCTGTTACTACTACTGTTACAATTTCTGAGCAGCACCATTTGTAAAGTTACACCAATAGCATAAGGAAAAATTAAAGCATTCTAAAATAAAAATGTATAGGACAAGTAGAACAAGTCATGAAACTTGAGATCACTGGAGACCTAGGAACAACTAGGTTTGTGATCACTTCTGACTTTCCTGTTGAATATGTCTATGGAAGCACTTTGTTCATGCAAGTATCAAAATGCATATAAAACCAGAATTTACTTATGGGGTTGGTACTTTTAATTTCCCTGAGTCCACATTTGGAAGTCTTAAAAGTTTAAGATAAGTGTTAGTTTCAGTGTGCAATACAAGTACAGTGATTCTTTACAGTGGTTTTACTCAGAACTTAAATTTCAGCTCCTAATTCTGAAATAACCTAAGTTTTTTTTTTTTGTCTATGCATTCAGTGTAGATGTAAATAATCAGTATTTTAAGTAGCTTGAACAGGTGACTCTGCTTGGAAGCTTTTAGACCTTTTTTTTGGTATGGGTTTTCTTACTGCAGAAGCCCAGCCCCGTGCAAATAAGATTGTTTACAGGTGTGTAATGTGACTGCATTGTTAAAGGATTTAATTGCATGATAAATTTTCCAGAGTAACCTGGTGGCTTACTTCAGTACAACAGCAGGCTTTATCTGAGACCTGTTTACCGTTTTCATGGTTAAAGAACTGTAACTCAGGACAGGTGGGAATCTAAAATTGCTTTGATAGAATCTTTGTACTTGGACAACTGTAATCCTTGGTGGGTTTGTGTAGTGAGAAGTTTTATCTCAAAAGCTGGTTTTGAAAGCTGCATTGGTAATGAAGCTGCAAGTTCCATAAAACTGGATTGCTGAAGTTGTTAGTTTTTAGTTTGTAAAATGAGTATTTTGTTTTGGTTTTTAGTAAATGCCATGCTCTTAAACACTATTACAAGTGACTGGAAAGAATAACTGTTAAATAAAAAGTAAATGTTTTAAGTGAGAATACACATACAGAAAACAAACATTTATTTAAAAAAAATAATCTCAAGTTTCTTGAACCTAGTAGAGGCAAAAACTCCCTTGTTTTTATTCCCCTCCCCAAGTAATGCAGTTTTGGAAGTTATTTTTTTGGTCTCTCCCCTGTGCGCCTCTCTCAAAAATCTATTGCTTCTCACCTACATACTGATCTCCCTGCACCTACTACATGTCTTAGAAAATTGTCTTGTAGTATAGTTTGATAATAACCAGTCATCACAAGCTGAAATCAATTGACATACCAGTTAATAATGCTGAAACGGTCTATGGGCTGCCTTCCTAGAATATGTGCAAAGAAAGGGATAATTATGAACTTCAGATTTTGACTTTTTTGGAAGGCATTTCTTAACAAGAGAGTGACCTTTTACAAATTAGGCAGTTGTGGTTTGAATGCCAAGCATCCTTTATAGTAGCACATATTTCTGTCAGAGAATAGGATTAAAAATATCTGGTGTACTGTTCTAATGGAACCTACATGGCATTGTTTAATGAGCGAAAAAACAATGAGCAGCCACCCAACGAGCTGAAATGTGTGTTCGTCTTCAAATGTATAATACTGTGCTACAGTACAAATAGCAGTGTGGCTAAATGTGCTAGTTTTAACTTTCATTTCAAACTAACAGAAATACTCAGTTCAGTTATGTATAATTTTCTTGAGTGCAATGCACTTAAAAGGAGCTATAATGACTACTGTATTGAACAGAGAAATGCATAATACATTATTTAAAAGGCAATAAGTTTTTGTTTTCCTTTTATATTTTTAAGAGTGAATTGAAAAAGGAACATATTAACTATAAAAAAAGGTTGCCTGCAATCTAATGTTGCCATCTAATATAATGATGCAGCACTCTAAGCATATTTTTTTAATTTGTTTTCAGAAGGGTCAACAACTTTTAAGTATTTTTTCCCATCACTCCCTTATCCTATTGAATCACCTAACGTCTCTGTGCACACTTAAGAGAATAATCTCCTCACCTGAATAATTGCAGACAGCTGTTCTCAGTCACTGAACATTGATAGATGAATATTTTGAATTTTTTGTTGTCATAATTTTTTGTATATTCTGTAGTCTTTGTGTTACAAGTTCCTACACTTGAAACCCTGATTGATTTTTTAGCTACCTTGTTTTAATAAATAATATATGGAAAGTTAAGTAGTTTCTTGTGTTGAGGAATTATTAAATCCATTACAACTGAACGTTACAATCTTGGTTGGTGGTGATTTTTTTTTTTTTTCTTTTATGGCACACACTGTGGATATAATAAGCTGAATGCTACTTTTGAGTTTATCCTGCTGCTCCCCACCTGATCTAAATTAAAACCGATCTCTGAAATTTAAGTGTTTTGTAGACGTTCTTCAGCACTTGAGAGCGGTTTTGCTTGTTTCTTTTATATGGGTTACATTTGACTCCTATACTTTGCATACTTATTTTTTTAATACAACTCCCTTACCCTTTCTCAGGACCACTTCTCTTCTTTGCAAGAAATGCTTTCAGTATCTATCCAAAGAATATCACAATACCATTATTTTTATTAAATCATTACCACTAAAAATTGAGAAATCTTAAGAAAAAAATTGTGTGAAAACAGGTTAAAAATGTAATACTGATGTATTGATGAGAAAGAAAACCCAAAACAGGAATTGACTTCCTGTATGTTTTAATTTAGTAAATTATCTTTGCTTTTTTTCTTTTTTACAATAAGTTGACATTTATTCTTCAACTTTTCAGGTACGGGTACCTTTGGGCGTGTTCATCTGGTGAAGGAAAAAATGGCCAAACGTTACTTTGCACTGAAAGTAATGAGCATTCCTGATGTCATTCGACTGAAGCAAGAGCAACATGTGCACAATGAAAAATCAGTCTTGAAAGAGGTCAACCACCCCTTTTTGATCAGATTGTAAGTTGTTGTATTTTTTAATTAATTTAGCTCATATATAGAGTGCAGTTAAAGTGTTCCAGAATCTCATTGCAAGTTCTTATGTACTTTACCAACACCAAGCACTTAATTTCTATTATGTAATCTAGACTGAAATAGACTTCAGACTAAAATATTTATTATAGAAGAATCAAGGATTTAAAATCAAGAGGCGTAATTTAAACATTTAAGCAATAATTTATTATAAGCTTAACTTTTATACTGTAGCGCTACTCTGTCTCTTATTTTCATACTGCAGAAGAGAAGTTTTCTTAAGTGAGGGGAAAATACTAATGAAGAAATGTTAGGATTGGCTCATCAAAATGATTTCTAGAATGATTCTTGATGTTAGAAAGGCAAAAAAAGCAGTATTTTTACATATATGTTTCCTGTGGATATTTAGATAAAGATATAATTAGATTTAAATATCTGCTTTTTGAAAACTTTTGTGAACTTTGCTTTTGCAAACTTTATTTTTAATGAGTTTAAATGACTGGAGCACTTCTTGGGCTTTGTTATTCCCATATTTGAGGCTAAGTGATAGACTCTATTGAGAAACGTGATTTGAACACAGTTTGTGAAGAATACATTTTTTAGTGGAATTGTGATGATTCTAGTGATCCCTTTATTAAGAAGAGAAGACATCAGACTTCTCTGTGTGCAGCACCATACTACCTTTTGTGTATCTTAGTCAATATTTACTAATGGGATAACTGTGCTGTTACCCAGAGGTTTAGTTAATTTCCATTTATATTTTCTCATGCATGGATAAAGGGCCATTGACCAAAATTTATTTCACATTTACCTGCCCTGGTCAGTTTTACATAAAATTAGACAAAATTAGTCTTAGTTGATCTCTAGCTGGAAGGAGTGCAGCTTTCATCCAGGGCTAAGAAAGTATCAGAGGGAAGAGGCAAAAACATGGTAGTGATCTGAAAGATGCAAGAGGTGTGCAGGAGGAGACTTTTTCCCTGGTGTGCTGGTGCTTTTTCCAGCATCATGATGCTATTAGTTTCCAGCCAATGTTCAGAAATCCTGTGTATGGCATAGTATCAGTAAGATGAGTTCTAGGGTATATGGATTTTGAGATGTGTGCAGGAAAGCAAGGTGGAGTGGCTGAGTACATCTGGTTAGACTGGTTAAAATATGGGTGGAACACGAGGAACGGGGTTTTCTCTGTATATCTAGGTACATGCATGTGTTCTTTTTAAGAAAAAAAAAAACAAAAAAAACAACCAAAAATACCAACACAAAACCAACCAACCAACTGAAAATAAACCCCAACCCAGTACATCTGTGCATGTGAAACAGTGCCGGAAGTGTGGGAATAGAGAGACTTGGGTGAGAAGTCAGAGACAGGGATGTGAGGGTTTGTGTCCATACAGAAGTGATCAAAAATCCAAATTGATAAGTTTTCTTGGATTTCAGTCATGCCTTAGTTCCAAAATATCATATTTTTTAAAATTGCCGAAGGAAGGGCACAGTTCAAATGGAAGCTCACTTCTGTGTAAGGCAAATATTCTTCACGTACTGTAGCGCTCTGCCTTTTCTGTTGACATGTTCAATGAGGTGCTGCGTCAGCTATGCTCATGTAATTGTCCACGTGCTGCCTTTGTCCCCTGGCAAAAAAGACTCAAAGCAACCTAGCTGAAATAAGGTAGTTAAATTTTAAGTCATGTTAACATTTGTGTGCTTTAGGTTAAACAAGCATTCATGGACGATTATCACTGACTGTATGACAAATAAAACTTTCTGCAGCTTTTTGTGTGACTGCTTTTTTCAGCCACCTCTTCCCCTGCTCAATAAGTGGGTTTTTTTCCATGAATTCTTTGAGTATAATTGATCAGCAAAAAGGAGGAAAAAAATCTATATAGTTCTGCTTCAATGCCTTTGAACTGTATTATCTACATGGTCTGGTTTTTATATTTTCAATTAGTGTCACCACATTGAACAGGGATAGTATCTTCTTCTGTTTGCAAAACAAGGAACGTGTGTCAGTGCAGCATAATACTGTATTTTTTAGCACTTTATAATGGAGAATTTTAAAGTAATGCTGCATGTAATTTATTTATGGCGTTCATCCTTCCTATATCTTCCTTTATATAAAGACTTTTATATAAGGAGTTTTTTTTCCTTTTCCTGTTAGTTTTAAGAAATGCCTTTTGTGCATGCTGATAGCTCCTGAATCAGTTTTTTTGTAGATACTGAAGTTATTTACCTACTCATCTTTTAAACTGTTTTTTGGAAATGCTTGTTGGGTGCTCTTGAAACAACTGGTCACTGGAGACTCCTAGGCAGTCTTTACTGACAAGTTTGAGTGACGTATCATAACTCTGTGGTGCAGCGGTTCATATTATGCTGTAATTTTGACATGTATCTTTGATTATTTTTTTTCAAGAGAACAGGAGTTAATAAAAATCAACCATGTCTTATAGTCCTGTAAACTAAAAAAAAAGGTTATTTGTCTATAAGTGTTCACAATGGCATTCAAAGTTCATGTCGTGAAGCTGAATTGTAAAATTACATGACACCATGCATTTTATTCTAATTACAGCTAATGTGATCTTTTCCTTTTGTATATTAAAATACCTTTCAAGCAATCTATATTGCAAATATTAAAGTTCTTTATTTTGCTATTTTTCATATATTTCAAATAATGTATCTATTTTTCTGTGGATAGACAAGTGGATAGTCGGTTCTTGAAGAAATTAATTCCAGTAAAAATACTGTGTTTTAATGGTCTAGGTCTTCCATTTTTTCTCCGTGTTCTTAGTCAGATTTTGCCCTTCCTCTCCCCTGTAGATGTTTTTTTAAATACGCGGTTTGCTTCATTTTGCCTGTTCCTGTTCCTCTTTCTTTGTTTATTGTAGGTGCAACTTTGCCTAACTCATTTAAAATACATCTCAAGAGTCGTTTTACATAGTCAATAAAGATATTGTGCACATCATCAATAGACAATTAATGATGTTGATTACTGTGATAGGGAAGTAGTGCCACAAAAGCAAAAGGCAAGTCTGGGCTCTGCTTTCTTCATCACTTTGAAGGAATGGAGGAGCTGTTGCTGATGTCTGATACTCTGTCTCATTTTCTTTGTTGCCCTCAGTGCCCATATCAAGAAAGAAAATCTTACTGATCAAAAGTCACTCATGGGTTTGGGAGCTCAGTTTGCTCTGCTTATCTTTCTTTAGACTCTGAGATGCCTTGATTAGGAACCAGCTAATGAAGGAAAAGAAAAAGGAAAAAAAAAAAAGAGAGTAAAAAAAGAAAAAGATATTTGATCTTTCCATTCTTATGATACTACAGAAGTAGTTACTAGAAGATAAAGTAACTTCTATTCTTATATCAATAAAGTAGGTAGGGATACAGTGTTCTTTATTTACTATCGCAGTAATAGGGATAGCTGTTTGTTTTAAAATTGTAGGATATTCTTCAAGACGTTACTAGATGCTTATTTGCTTCTTAACTCTTGAGTTACTTTTGAGAGTGTGGTGTATGAGTTGTTTAATATGGGTAGAAAGAAAAACAGCTTGGTTTTGGGGAATGTGGGAGAGTAGATTCCTGTATTCTGTAATGAAGCATTTGAAAGCCACGTGGAATGATTTTATTTCTTCCTTAGCTGCTGTTTACTGCACTATAGTAATGAATGTAGCACAGTAATAGTTCTTAAATTAAAGGCAACAGTTTGAGCAATGGAAGGTACTTACCATTAGGTTAATTCTGAGGTACAGAAATGAATATTGTTTTGCTGTTATTTTTGCCTTTGTATTGATTTTGTTGAAGATACCATAGAAGAGCGAGCATTGTGATCTGGCGCTTTAGTTGGGGTTGTATATTTCCGGGGAGGATGGGATAGGAGGGGGGAAGGAGAAGTCTCTAGTGTCCTGTTTTTGAACATATTGTCAGAAACATCTTTACAAAAGAAGATTCTGCTCGCCCCCTATCACTTTAACAATATTTGATTAAGTAAAAGGTAAGGCATGTAAGAATTGCCTGATCTTAGCAGACTGGCATTATAATAAGTCAGTATAATCAAGTCAGGTGCTTGGCAGAGACCTGTTTTGTACAGTGCAATGGAGTCTATCAGTTTGATTTTCTTTTGCGGCCTGTGCAGTGTCCATCCTGAACTATCTGTTTGGGTTAAGTCAGGGACTTGAATGTCTGATACATAATCCTACTAGTTTCTTGGGGTTTTAATATTTGCAGAATCATAGATTAATTATGTGCATGGTTGGGGCGATAGAGGTCATTTTACAAAAATTTACTTCTAAAGCAAATCAGAAAGTTAATTTGTTTATTCAATAAAATGATACTTTTTATTACAGATTTTGGACCAACCATGATGAACGTTTTTTATATATGTTGATGGAATACGTGCCAGGAGGAGAACTTTTTAGCTACCTGCGCAACATGGGGCGTTTCAACAACAGCACAGGACTGTTTTACTCTACGGAAATTATTTGTGCAATAGAATACCTGCACTCCAAAGAAATAGTTTACAGAGACTTAAAACCTGAAAATATATTGCTAGACAAAGAAGGACATATCAAGCTTACTGATTTTGGATTTGCTAAAAAACTGGTGGATAGGTAAGTAGGTTTTTGTTATGGTAATTACATTTTACATATTAAACGGAAGAAAAAAGGGTTTGATTACAGAGTTTAGCATTTCACCTAGTGCTCTTATGTGGTTCACACATGTCAAATCCCTTAATATGAAGGAAATGATCATCTTAGAATAGAAACCAATATTACACCTTAGGTGTAACTAGGAGCAATATCACAGATAAGCTACTGTAGAAAAGTATTTTTATATGAGTAGTTATATTTATATATATTTATATTTAAGTTTTCAGCAGTAATCTTGTGAAAAGGGAATTCAGTGAAGTAATACAAGCAAATATTGATATATGTACATCAGTATGTTAAACGGGACATTAATCCTCCATACACATTGAATTACTAAATGTTTTGTAACTGCTGTTTTCCTTCTGCTTTCCTTTTAGAGAGATTTTTGAAATGTGGGATTAACATTTTAAAACTGGATACTGTTTTTCACCAACCTGTTGCTGAAATGAAACTGCAAAATCTTGATAGCAACAATAAGGCCAGCTTCAGCAGAAGTGATTTATTTAATTGTAACTTCTACAATACTGTCAGCCTTCTGTCCATGTTAGTAGCATATGTAAACTTTTTGATAATGCAGAGTTTTTTTTCCCCAGTGATTTCTCTGTTCTCTCTGTTTGAACTACTCTTCCAAGATTATAATCTATGTTCTTAAAAAGAAACGAGAGCTCTCACTGGGATTCAAAAAAGGGAGAAAAAAACACCTAGCCTATCATTTTAGAAAAGCAGTGTGACAAGGTTTGGTGTTATGCCCTTGGGCCATCTCTTGAGGCAGACAATATCTGATTGTTCTAGTTGAGGCAGCCTGGTAAGCAAGTTGGTCATTCTCTTCACTCATCTGTTTACCTGGTTGATGCTGCTTTTGCAACAGTTCGGTGTGGGAGGGAAATTCTACAAGATCAGTTTGAAAGGAAGGTGGATCTGAGGGAGCTACTCTTAATGGATCCCTTATGAAGTAAAAGTCAGATGAGACAGATCAAACAGTGTTACGGAGGTTATAAAGGTTGCTTCCCTATAGGTTACATGCTCACAGTGCTGAGTTACCTTAGCACAGAGGAATGGTAAGCAATAATAAGAACGCTGGTTCTATTCACCCTTAAGGTCTAAAAGTCTGTTCTAAAACCATAGTGTTTCAGGATCAACATGTCTGATTGAATTCAGGTTTCCACTGAGCAGGCAGATACATCTACAAATATTGGCTTTTTTGTTAATATCTTGGATTTAAATCAAACTAACTTTTTTGCACAAGAGGTAAGGCTTCTTCCATGTAAGAAAGCAGGATGATCCCTTTGAGACGTTTACATACAAATTTTTACCGCTTCCTTTTTACATGTAGATACTGCCACTTAGTGGTTATTCTTAATTTGGATTTCTGTGGGTTTAAGGCACAACAGAAATAACCCTTCATTAAATAAGGTGATAGTTCACATCAAAGCATATTTTTCAATCTGGAAGATAAATCTATAAGAGTGAATTTGTTCAAATACATTTTTGGACATCAAAACAAGCTATCACTACTGTTTTTAAATGTTTTTTTTGCATCCCATGGTGTTGGGAAGTGATGTGAAGTTAATGAATTTGTTTTGAATTGAGTCATAGAATGCTATAATAATTTTATATTCATAGCTGATTTACCTATAAGTGTACAACACATGAGATATATATATATATATAGAACATAAAGATGGAAGGAGCACAGACTTCATCAGTTAGAGCACGGGGTAGTTACCTATGCAAGTCTGGTTTAGCTTTTCGTTTTGGTTTGTTGGTTTTTTTGGAACTACATAGTATTCTCCCCTCTAGCTGTAGTAGTTTTCACAATGCTGTTTGTGTCACTGTAAAATTACGCAGTTGTCAGTAATTTATCCACCAATGCACTCCAGTAGGTTATTTTGTTTCATAGACTATTTGATCAAAAGTATATGAGATGTTTTTTTCATTTTTATGCATGGCAAACATCTGTACACATGAACCTTATGCATATGTGTGTGAATATGTGTATATATGTATACATATATATAGCATATATGAATTGTGAAAATAAAATGCAAAGTATATGTTTTCCAAACAGCTGTGAGGAAAACTGCCACTTAGGACCAAAAAATGCATTCTTAGAGAAGACACGATATGTAAAATAAAACATGGGCTGCAGGACACCTTCAATACAGTTACACATTCTTGATACATAATGGCTTCACATGAATTATTATGTAGTTGCTCAATTAAGATTTTTCTGTACGCATTTTCCTTTCTTCCCATTACCATGTGTGAAAGAGTGAAGTGTTCACCATGTCCATCTACAATTAAGTAGCTCTTTAGAGAGTGGCTGGCTTGTAGCTCATGTTCCCACTGTGGGAAGCAGCCTGCACATTTACCTTCTTATTAGTACATTTTCTGAAGGGCCAGACTCTTAATATTTCTTTTTCCTAGTGAGAGAGGAAAGAGAGGAGGTTTTCTTGTCTCCTTCTGTTCCTTGTTGATATGTCCTTCTGTTTATCCTTGTTCCTCCCTTTTTGGTCACAGTGTGCTTTTAAAAATTCTAAATTTTTCTGCAGAACATTGTGTCTTTGTCTCAGCTGCTGTTTATTTCTTCTCTATTCCACCTTGGTATTGCTTAACTGGTGATTTAATAACCTTTTCAGTTTCTTATAAGCGCTTTCACATAAAATAGATGTCCCACTACTTTAATAAAAGAAGGGGAGGACTGTTTATAAAATACTATTACCTGAAGGATGTAGAAGGGATTTGCTTTGAACTTTATAGCCTTTACATTTTTAGGCCTTTCTTTTTTGGGAAAACATACACCACTTTTTGGGTATAGCATATCCATTAAACATGCTTCTGATCTTTCTCACTCATTTTGGGTGGGTTTTTTTTTATTTTACGGGTGGGTATTGTTTTGTTGTTGGTTTTAGTTTGGTTTTTTTCTAATTCCTATGTTCCTTCAGAGAAGCACAAAACTGAAGTTCATAGAATTCTGTATTTTTTGTGCACAGATTTCACTCAATGTTATGAAAGTTTTAGGTAAAGTTAGGACTTTCATGATTGATTTTTTTTCTTTTTTAAGGAATGTTATTCACTGTCAATTTTAGTTTGTTCAGTTTAGATTGTTAAAAAAAAAACCAAAGGTTTTAAACTATAAAAATCTTCCTAGAAACTTGAGAAGTAATTACCTTAAAGATATTGGGCATACTTCTGCACTGTTGCTTAAGCTGGATGTGCCTTGTGACTGTTCTGCAGAGTGGATTGAAAGAGAAAAACCAAAAGAAGACAGAGCATGTCTTGTTTGCAAAGTGTGTTGTTTGTCACATTCTGCAAGAATGTTTTGCAGAACAAACTTTTGTGGGCTGGAAACAAAGCAATCTCCATTGAATATAATTATGGAGAAACTTCCAGAAGAGAATACCAAAACCGACGTTGTTGTTAATCTCTGGTTTATATGCAAGCAGCCTGTCAGGGACTACAGAGGGGGATGCTGAATGGTGCAGAATGCTAAAGTACATTAACTATCGAGACTTGACTTCTTCAAATAATACTGTTAACAAGTCCCGCAAATAGTATTTTATAGCTTATCTTCGTGACCAGAGTAGATTCTTTGTTTTATTTTCATGTTTTCAAATTACATGCTCAACCTTATCAATATTGCTTACCTGTATTTCAGCTTTTATCTTGAAAACCCAGAGAGGTGGACTTTTTGTAGCAGTTTGAAGGAAACAGTTTATTCTTATTCTTCTGCTGTATAGTTTTTCTTCAAAAGAATGATCTGGATTTTCAGATGAATATGCAACAGTCATGAAACACTAGTGATAAAAAAAATACTTAAGATGATTTGATCTTTCTATAGAATTTATTTGATGTGTTTTCCAAAATATTAAAGAGTTTGTTTCATGACCAACAAAGGAGGAAATAAAAGTCATGATTTTATGGCACAGATACACAGTTTGACAAGGAATTTGAGCTTCTTTCAAGTTTTTTGTGTATTGAGTAAACATAACTTTCTCAATTAAGAAAAGTAGATGACCTGCTGGTGGTAATAAATTTTGTTTCCTAGGGCACCCAGGGAACTTCAGGTGATGTTGGCCTTTCCTTAATGTGTGGGTTTGCTTTTGCTTGAATAAAAAAGTTCTTGTTATTAATCTGTATGTTAATTGTGGGTCATTTTAGTTACATTGTCACCAGCAAATTATAGGGTCCTGGAAGTCATGGTCAAATGTTAGGCTGATTTTTTTTTTTTTTTTTTGTGTGTGTGTAAATTATCTTGATAAGGGATGAAAACCACCAAAGACTGCATCTTTGCTGAATTTGTGCATTCATAGTGTTGGCAGTTTTGGGGTAGGAAAGGATGACCGTTGTGAGGCATTGTCCTGTAAGCAGTCTAGCTTGTTTATTAAAACAAATGTGCCTGCCCTGTCTGCTTTATTTGTACAGCCCGTTTTCCCAAAGTAAAACTGGCAGTTGCTTCATTTGCAGAGCTAGCTAAATCAGTGTGAATGAAAATTCATATGATGAATTCATACTATGCAGCTTTTTAAATTTGGGGAGGGGGGACTATTTTGTTTTAAAAGACAACAAAGCTTTGCTGTTTTTCTTATTTACCTAGTCCTGATCTAGGCAACTGCTAGATGGCAGTAGTGTGTAAAGCAGTGCTATTGCTGTTCCTAAGAACTTTCTTAAGAGAGTAGGCTTGATTTGGAAAATGAGAGTTTATATTTTCTAGCAATAAAAATTATGCCACCCTTTTATGATAAAAATTAAAGATGTATTATTTACACTAATGAATGCAGTTTCAATAACCATGGAACACATCAGTGCAAAGTGCATCTGATGCATTTTGACAGTTTAGCTGGAGTAATTTAGCTTTTGCCATATTAAAACCAAGCTTAGAGAAATTCAACTCTGTGCATCATAAATTTTCATTTAAATTCTTGACTGACTGTACAGCTCCTCTTCCTTGATCTTAAATTTTTTTTGTGAATCAAGGATAAGGCTTAAGAAAATAACCAGACAAAAGGAAAACAAGAAAATAACACCAAAAAGCTCTGTTTAAAATAATTCTGCAATCTCAGAAAAATGTATTATTTAATATTAAAAAAAAAAAAATTAAAAATCCTGACAGTCTGTGATTTCGTAAGTCCATCTTGAATATCCATTTGTGGTTAGGAAAAAGAAGGTTTGTCACATTTAGCAGAATAGTGGTAGGAAAAACCTAGAAGTTGAAAGGAGTATGTATTACTTCTAAAGGAGATTTCTGTTCATCTTAATGCATTTGTTCTGGACCATGTTACCAGTTTGATTGAAGAAGATTCTTTCTGCACTCACAAATAAAATAAGAGTTTCTTTTGTTGCAAGTTAGAAATCATGTGCAGTGACCATTAATTTTGTGAATATATTCTTTGTCATATCTTAATAGAACTCTTACTAAAATGCAGCGTGCTTTTTTCTTTCTTATTCTGTGCTGTTATTTCATCCTCTCTTGATTAGTGTGCACTTTTTCAAAGTTTCATCTTCTGACTTGCTATCAGGGAAGTGTAATTTATTCGGAATGAGAACAGTTTTTTTTTTTTTTTTTTTCTCTAAATATAAGTCAAGGTAGTGAAGCCAGGCAAATCCTACATGGGTATTTTTACAAAGAAGAGTTCACATTTCTGAAAGAAACAGTTTCAGAATAATCTTTGTTTCAAATTGTAATTTGGTCTTTGTAAGCATTGACTGCTTAGCTTAAATTTATTTCATTAATTTATGGAACTTGAAATACACATTTCAATTTGGTAGCAATATAACACTTTTATATCTTGAGCTTGTATTAAAAAGCTAGGACTAAAAATGAAATTAAAATATATCAAAAATAGTATTACTTACATACCTCACACTGGCTTAACTATACCTTGTAAATATTTAAAATAATTAATACAGAGTGTTTTCCTTTTAATGGGTATTGTCAAAGTGATGACAGGTTACATTTCAATACTATTTGAAAAACATTACTTAAATTGTAAAAGGAATCAGCTTACAGGGTGAAAACCGCTGTTAATAATTTCAAAGCAGTGTATAGCCTAATGGATAGATAACCACACCAGCAATTGGGAAACTCACTGCACAGATATTTCCTGCGGCTAATTTTCTTAATTTCTGTATATCTCTGTTAATTGGAGAGCATCATCAAAGCAGGCTTTTTAGATCCTGTAGAGGTCTTTCTTTTTTATCTTGTTCCTATATACAATAAATACATAGGTATATAGGTATACTTCCTATGCATCTGTGGGGGTTTTTTTCTGTTACTGTTATTTCGGTTTCACCTCACTCTGGTTTTGTTTGTTTTGTGCGTTTGGGGTTTTTTTTAATTCTTCTTTTCCTCCCAGGACATGGACACTCTGTGGCACTCCTGAGTACCTCGCACCAGAAGTTATACAAAGCAAAGGCCATGGAAGAGCTGTGGATTGGTGGGCCCTAGGGATTCTTATATTTGAGATGTTGTCAGGGTAAGTGATAATGATTACTGTGTCACAGTAATATTATGTAATACAGTAATACAGGATTCTTTACTAGTTCTGTTTATGATACTTTGAATAGCAAATTTGGGCTAAATTTGTTATTGATATACCAGTTTCATTTCTGCCTCTGAAGAAAGGAATTGAGAGCTGTAAAAAAGAATACGTATCACTGTTGTTACCAAGGTTTTTTTAGTCTTTTGAGTTTGTTGGGTTTGTCTGTTGGTTGTTTTGTTTTGGTTTTTTTACCTAAGGCTTTTAACAGCTGCTGGTTTCCTTATCTGTTTTAGAAATTCAGGTTTTGTTGAAATTTAGATTTTTATACATAAAATCCTTTATATTTAAAGGGTGAAGAAGACGACTACGAGTTTTCTTTGAAACTTCTGTAATTAATTTCTAACATAGAGAAATAAGATTAGCAGTGGGAACTTTAGTCTGTAAAAATGCATAGTGGCAAGTAGGAAGACTTTTCTTGGTACAGCTTGTATTACTACTGAGCACTGGTTTTCTTTAAACCAAAAAAGGGAAAAGTTTAAAAGGTCTATTTGGAAATCAGTTTGCTGAAATGCTACTTTTGATGTTTTGGAATTTGCTTGATAAGCAATGTTTCCAAAAGATACAAATTCAAACTAAAAAGAGACTTTCTGGCATAAATATAACTGGAAAGAAAAAAAGAGGGGGGGGGAAGAGTGGGAATTTTGAAAGAAATCATTTTTGCCATGGTTGGTGCAGTAGAACGAATGCAGGTGAAAGCAAGACTTTCATAGCTTCAGGAGAAACAATTTATTTCATCAGTTTTGGTTTCATAGTCATTAGATCTTTTTGGTACCAGGCCCAATGTGCTGTGTGCCTTCTCGTTCCCTGAGTGCGTGTCAGTTGCCTCTGAGGCCTTCCATTCTGGATCTGCAGCCCCGCAGAGCAAAGTTGGAACAAAAACATCCTTGCATGGATTTATTCCTCCTTTTCTATAGAAAGTACTGTCAGCTCAGGGTTACTTCGGTGACTCTTCTGGTGTTTGGATGAGCTTGTCAGATTGCCTGAGCAGACAGTTCCTCTGACAGACAATCGCTTAAGAGCTTCAATCCATCACATGTTTGCTGTGAAGAAGTTCACCCAGTAGCATCAAAACTTTATCCCAAGCCAGCATTGCTGCCCGCTGGTTGCTTTCTTAATTTCTTGAAGTTTTGCATATGCAGTTACTTTGAATCTCAAGGCAATTTCTAGACAGAAAAAGCATAAAAATGTACTAGTAGGTCTCTACTGACCCAGGCAGGCTTGGCTGACTGGTCTAAAAAAAAGAAGTTGTTATTTATGTAGGTTGATCTGTGCAGAGGCCAGGCTTCACCTTTCTTCCACCACTCCCTGTACGGGTGAGCAGCCCAAGTTGGTCAAGGGAATCCTTCTCAGAGGGATGAAAGGAGCAAGAGATTCCCAGCAGCCTTGTTGTCACTCATCTTAGTCCTAGACAGCATGAAGACTGTAGGTAAAAGTGTTTGGTGCTGTAACATGAGCACAGGTGCTGCAGTCTCCCAGCTGTAGTCCGAGTGGTTTACCTTCCTGCCACAGGTTTCAGTGGGACAGCTCTGTTTGGTCTGTGTGGTCTCAGTGTAAGTGGATATTGGGTGTTTTTCCTTTGTGTGCTTTACATAGATGTTGGTAGCATTCTCTCTACTAAAGCAGTAATAGAAACATGGTTTCCAAAGTTAACATACTGACTAGAGGTCATAGTCAAGCAAGGGCTCATCTCTGTAGTCAATGAGACTTCAAGACTCTGACTGCTATATATTCAACTCAAGTATGACTGGTATATATTCTTCATAAAAAAAGAAAAAAGGAGCAGCTGCAATCATTTATATGTAGGATCTTCTGTGTCCTGACACTATCTGGCTCAAGTGATGAGACCTGGATTCCCCCAAGCTTACTGTAAATACTGTGGCTATACAATCTCTTAACCAACAGAGATAAATTACACATTTCTAAAAGGCAACTGAGATCTTATATAGGCTGATTGACAGACACAGATTGACAGTCTGCTGCAAGTGGTTTTGTAAGGTTTTTTACTACAGTATTTGTGTAGATTTGCTTTTCATAATGGTTGGATGCTTCTTTTTATTTTTCAGGTGGGGTCCCTATCCAAAGCTGGGATAAGGACTCCATCCAAGTTTACTTGGTTGATTTTTTTTTGTTGTTGTTTGGAGGTTTTGGGGTGTTCTTTGGGTTTTGATTTTTTTTTTTTTTTTTTGTGTGGGGGGGGGGGGGGTGGGATGTGTAGATTGATACTACTTGCTTAGAATTTTTAAGCTTCTGGGGTTTTGAGGGGCTGGAGGGGCAGGGATTGTGGCTTGTGTGTGTTTTCTTTAGGAGGTCAGGTTGTCACATAGGGATATGCTTTTAACATTTTATCAGCTTTCCACTGTTGTTGGCAGTAGTGTTTTAAAACACTTTTCCTCACCAACTCAAGATGTGGATTGATATCTGCTATCAAGGCTATTAATGCAAAACCAGTCCTGTGTAACTTTATGCTTTGAAATTCAAAGAAAATTTAAGTAATATGAAAATTATTTGAAGGTGAACAAAACCTGGCTTCGAGACTAAGTTATGGTCTGCAAGTAAATTGCTTAAGACATTTGGTAGTTATTTCCTGGAGTTACTCTCCCTGAACCCGAAAAGCAATTGAAAAGAATTGGTAGATGTGTGGGTAAGGAAATGGTCTCTCTTAAAAACAAACAAACAAAACCACACTTTCCTGTTCTGCAGTGTCTTATTTCTCTAACTTAATCTCTAGAGGCCCATGGAATTCTAGTTCTGCACATACTAGATTTAAAGCAAGGTCCCATTTAGGTTTAAGATGGTAAAATATAGGAATGAGAAAGAGCAGGGAGAACCAGAAGTGCGAAGAAATCTTTACAGAACAGATTAGGAATACCAAGCTCATATTGTTAATCTAAACAAGCTAAACAAATTGTCAATAGAGAGAGGTGGAAGATTTATTTATTTTGAGTAAATGTGTTCTGTTACAATCTGCCATAGAGGAAAACATACTTGTTGTTTAATGTTAGATACGTTAGCTCATAATTGTACTGTCATCAGATGTGTAGCTAACTGCATTTTCTCATTTAATGAAGGCTTTGTGTTTTTTTGGTTTTGCTTTGGTAGTCATATGTGATGTGCTGGTCTATCATTTTAGGTAGCTAATGGATGCTGTCTACAGTTTCATGTTCTCAGACCTGTCTGTTTTCCCTTGAGGTTTTACAACTTCTCTTTTTCAGTGTTAAAACTATCTGTTATCTTTGAGACCAATGTCAGTGCCATTGTTATGCATCAGTTAGCAAAAGGAATGGTTTGCAGCTGTTGTCCCATATACAGAGATTATTATTTTTTATTATTTTTTTTTAGCTTCAGTTGGTGGAAAAAAGGCAGCTGTTTGTATTTGTGTTATGGTGTGAAGACAGTCTGAAACTCAAGGGGATTTTTGTTGATTTATTAGGTAGCTTCCAGCACAATTCTTGCATTGTTTTGTCTAAAATCTGTGCTGTGTTGCAGATTCATATTTGCAAGCAATATCAAAGTCAATGTCTGTAAGAAATTGATGTAATCTTTCAAAGCTATTCTCATTTTGCATATAGTTCAAATGCACTTTAAGCAGTATTGCCATTAAATTACTATGTAGCCAAGCATGATTTAAATTTCTCTCGAGAATTCTAGACAGTAATTTTGGGATTTCAAAGTGTGAAAGCAAAGAGCAATTTAAACATAAGTAAAAATGTAAAAACATGTATGTACTTTTCCTCTTGATTTCACACCTCAATAGTGTACAGAATGTTTGGAGATGAAAACCCTTACATTTCACATCAGTCTGCTTACTGCAGCTGGCACCTTTGTAATACATAGTTACAAAGTCTCATTCTGATGCTTTATGCATTTATAGATGCTAATATGTAACAAAAAAAATAATTGGAAATGAAATGTACTGTTTGTCAACTTGCTTGGGGAATATGAGGGACATAATGTTGCCTGACTAAAACAGAAACTTTATATGATAGTCTTTCTGGTGTGGGAAAATTTTGCGCATGTTAAATGTCTATCAACGTTTCCTTGTTCTTCAGTGTCAAGGCAGGAATTTATAAACACACAAATAGTTTTTCCTGAGATTCTTATATTTTCCAGTTTCTTTCTAGCTGAGACTATTCAGTTTTTCATAATGAAACTACTCTGGCTTTGTGAACAACAGCAAGAAATTTCCTTCAGTCTTTCTTTAACCATATAGTTTTGGCATGTTTTTCTGTGCTTTAAAGTATTACTTTTTTACCTTATGCACACAGGCAGCTTTACTTACTTATTCTGATGGAATTTAGTTTTGTCTGTGGCTGAATTTTACAGTATTTCAAATGAAATGCTTATCTACTTGACCATCAGCTGAATAGTGAAGAAATTAGTACTCCTGAAAACACTTATGTAATGGAAATAATGTATAGTACTTGTTGAGGAATAAGCTAGTTTGTGTAGCATAAAATTAAGGAAGAATATGAAATGAAGAGACATTGTTTTCACCCTTGTTTTGCTACCAATGATTTCCAGCGCTGTATTTGTGTGTGTACACAAGCAGTTAAGTTCTCTTAGAAAGTAATTATGGAATGTTAGGAAGATGTGAAAATATTTTAAATGTTGGGCTGTAATAGTGGTTGGACGTTATTAATATGGTTAACACTCAAAGTCCTTTTTTTTTTTTTTTTTAATTCTGTAGGGGTTTTGAGGCAGGAGCATAGTAAAAGGGATGTTTTGGTCATGTTATGAAAGTCAAAGTGGGACTGAGATTAGTGAACAAGTAGTTAGTCATTCTATTCCCCTAAAAGGTTTTCTGTGGTAACTTCTAGAAAGGTGACTGCCACTCTGAAAACCTGTTGGCACTTGTGCTAAGCTGCTGTACCGACTGTACTGATACACCCATTTTCTGAGCCTCTTGCAGTAATAAGGTTATGTATTACACTAGTAAAGGAAGCGCAACAGAAAACACTCTCAAATCTTACTGTAGCTATAAGACACGAAGTAGTCTTTCTGTTAGCTCGTAAATGCATGAAGACCTTTCTAGAAAATAGTAGGTGTAGAATTTGAAATGCATCTTGATTAACTGATCATCTTGGGAAGATTATGAAATAAGTACTTTACCTGTCCAACACAGACAAACAACTTCATTTCAAGAGAGTTTCAAGTTCTGAACAGTCTGTCTCTTTCAAACCTTCTCTAACAAAACATATACTTGAATTCGAGAAGTACAATAAATAACTGAACGGGACAATCTATTCATATGAGGGTCCTTTGACACTTTAGGTAGAAACAGGTGAATAAGGGTATGCCTGCAGTTACAGGACAAGATCAAAAGTGGTAATGCTGTTTTGGGAAGTATACCCATGGATTTTGTAGATAAAGGCAAAGCATTTTTTACTTTAACATTGAAAATGTATTTCCTAATTGATATTTTTATTGTATTAATGTAACAAAACTCTCTTTTGTAATTTTAATTGAGTATTCAATGTGTTGCATGCAAAAATGTTTTCTGTTTTGCAGTAGCAGTCTTAAATTAAGTTATTCTTCAAGTTAGTATTTGATTGATGATGCCCTACCAAAAAGAACTATATAATGAATGATTTCTGAAGGGAATTATTGTAACATAATACTGTTGATCAGATTTTTAGAAATTCTTTTTCTAACATCTAAACATTTGCTGTATTAAAACAGATTTCCTCCATTTTTTGATGACAATCCATTTGGTATATATCAGAAGATTCTTGCTGGCAAAATAGATTTCCCGAGGCATTTGGATTTATATGTGAAGTAAGTTCATGACTCCTAACACTTTTATATTCTAAAAACCTCCTGAGCACTATTTCTAGAGAATCTTCATAGAAGATGAGATACCAGATTCTGATTTTCCAAAACACCGTGTCAGAAAATGAATGTGAGAATGACTTCCACTTCTGATAGACTGCATATTGAACTGGGGCCTTGCTTATATATGCATGTGTGGGTTTTATTCATAGTATTTTGCAATCATTACAGGTATACTGCAGATGAAATGGATTTTTTTCCCCTATTAACAAATTCCATAATTGAAATAATTATTAGTAAACATTAGAACAGAGGAAGTGCAATTTTAAACACAAAGTTTCTCCTCGGAAGCTGACATGAGTGAGGGAGGACAGGAAGTTATTCTTACATTCCCAGGATAATTATTCAAGGTGTTTTGAAGAAGTGACCTTAGAGATGGCACTTGCTTACTGTCACCACTAGGTAAACAGATAAAATGTTGCACAGCAAATCTAATGAAATCTGTCCAACTTTCTCTGAACTTTTATGAATTCTCTTGCAAAAATAATCATTTGGCGAGCATTTTCTAAGCCTCCATTGAATCATCAGGTGCACTGAATCAAGCATGTCTACATCACCTTAGGCTGTTCAGTATCTCATATTTGTATCTGTTCTCAAGTTTTCCCTTACTATCTCAATGTTGTTTCCAATATAGTGTAGTCCTATTGTCTGACCTTCCTAACCCAGTCTGTCTTAAGAAGAAAATTGAGTATTTCATATAGTATTGTGTTCACTAAAGTATAAGAGTGTGACCAGATGAACAGCTCAAACTAGGTTATTGTCACTAGCAACTAGTCTAACATGGTGAAAGCATTTAAAAGTAGAGATGCTGTTGGCTTCTGTTAGTGCTCAACATTCACAGACCAACACTGATTTCTACTATCCAGAAGACACCTGAAAATTCCTAGTTATGGTAGTAAGCATGCATATGCAGGTTTTGCACTTGAATCTAGACATGACTGCCAATGAATTGTAGGATACATTAATCAAAGTAGTTGTTGATACACCTCTTTCCCAGCTCTTCTCATCCAGATGCTCTTTCAGTGTGTGGTTGGCAGCTCATTTTCATTACACTCTTGCCATTGTGGGAGTCTCATGGGATTCTAGCTTGGGCTTTCCTCCTTTCACAACTTGGTTTTGGGTGATCTCATTGATTTGTGTGGCTTCACCTACTTTTCTGCAGTCAGTTGTTAGCATAATGTATCTTTCTTGTCCCATCAGCTTCTCTTCCTTCTTTCTTTAAACCACAGTATGCGGTACTGGCTGGTCTTTAATATCTCTACACCATTAGCTTAAAGCAAGTGCCAAGATTATTTTGTTGTACAAAGACAGTCTGCTTCTTACCTTACTTGTATGCCATTTGCTTTCTCTCTCTTCTTCCTCTCAGTTGGTATCTCAGCAAGGATGAAGTCTATCTTGAGTCCTGTCATATCGAGGCTATGTCTGAAGTATTTAGTACTATACAGTATTTATAACAATTGAACTTTAGCTCTCTGCTCTTAGGCAACAAAACTATTTTCCTTTCTGAACTCTGAGAACACTCTTGTACCCAGATGTACTACGTAAACGTAATGGTTGACATTTTTCTATGTGCCTGCCTCCTGTCACCCTCCCACAGTTTTTAACTTTTGAATTTTTACTTCTGCTTTCCCTCCTGCTTGTTGATGTTCACTGCCTCTTACTGTGCTGTATAACTGCTGCATGTCTTCACAGAATGGTCAGGGTTGAAAGGAACCTCTGGAGATCATCTAGTCCAACCCCCCGCCAGAGCAGGGTCACCTACAACAGGTTGCACAGGACAGTGTCCAGGCGGGTTTTGAATGTCTCCAGAGTGGCAGACTGCAGAGCCTCTATGGGCAGCCTGTGCCAGTGCTCTGCCACCCTCAAAGTAAAGTAGTTCCTCCTCATGTTAAGATGGAACTTCCTATGTTCAAGTTTGTGCCTATTACATCTTGTCCTACCACTGGGCACCACTGAAAAAAGACTATTCCCATCCCCCTGGCACCCTCCCTTTAAGGATTTGTAAGCATTAATAAGATCCCCCCTCAGTCTTCTTTTCTCTGGACTAAAAAGACCCAAGTCCCTCAGTCTTTCCTCATAATAGAGATGTTCCAATCCCCTAATCATCTTCATAGCCCTTTGCTGGACCCTCTCCAGCAGTTCCCTGTCCTTCTTGAACTGGGGAGCCCAGAACTGGATGCAGTACTCCAGATGTGGCCTCACCAGGGCAGAGTAGAGGGGAAGGATGACCTCCCTCAACCTGCTGGCCGCCCTCTTCTTGTTTCACCCCAGGATGCCATTGGCCTTCTCGGCCACCAGGGCACATTTCTGGCTCTTGGTCATCCTGTTGTCCACCAGGACTCCCAGGTCCCTTTCCACAGAGCTGCTCTCCAGCAGGTCAGCACCCAACCTGTACTGGTGCATGGGGTTATTCCTCCCCGGATGCAGTACCCTACACTTACCCTTGTTGAACTTCCTAAGGTTTCTCTCTGCCCAACTCTCCAGCCTGTCCAGGTCACACTGTATGGCGGCACAGCCTTCTGGCATGTCAGCCATCCCTCCCAGTTTTGTGTCATCAGCAAAATTGATGATGGTACACTCTATCCCTTCATCCAGATGATTGATGAATATATTAAACAGGACTGGACCCAGTACTGACCCCTGAGGGACACCACTTGTTACTGACCTCCAACTAGACTCTGTACCACTAACCCCAAGCTATCTGCCAGCCACCGTTCAATCCACCGCACTGTCCATTCATCTGACCCACATTTCCTAAGCTTTCCTGTGAGGATGATGTGGGAGACAGTGTCGAAAGCCTTGCCAAAGTCAAGGTAGGCAACATCCACTGCCCTCCACCCATCTAGTCACTTCATCATAGAAGGCTATCAGATTAGTCAGACATGACTCCCCCTTAGTGAATCCATGTTGACTACTCCTGATAACCTTCTTTTCCTCCAGATGCTTGGAGATGACGCCCAGAACAAGCTGCTCCATCATCTTTCCAGGGGTCAAGGTGAGGCTGACCGGCCTGTAGTTTCCCGGGTCATCCTTCTTGCCCTTTTTGAAGACTGGAGTGACATTGGCTTTCCTCCAGTCCTCAGGCACCTCACCTGTCCTCCAGGACCTTTCAAAGATGATGGAGAACTCCGCCTTCTCTGCATCATCTGTCACCATGGCACCTGTCTCGTTCAACAGCGGGCCCACATTTTCCCTAGTTGTCCTTTTGTCTCCTATATACTTAAAGAAACCCTTTCTATTGGCCTACTCATCCCTCACTAGGTTCAATTCCAAGGCTGCCTTGGTTTTCCTCGTTTCATCCCTGCATACCCTGACAGCATTCTTGTACTCGTCCCAAGTGGTCAGTCTTGCATAAGTGCTGTTCCTTCTGGCCTGAGCTAGCATCTGTTCACATTGCTCTCTACTATGTCCCTTTTGTTTGATCAAATTGCCTTGCAATTTGATCAGATGTTTACTCCAAGTCCTTTGTCCTATATACATGAAGTCTTTGCCACATATGACCATCTGCTCAGATCTCTTCTGAAGAGCAGCTTCTGCTATAATGATGATAATAAATTAACCAACTAGAAATTCCAAAATAAGACTGTCAACAGAGGTTTGTGTTAACTTCATTTCTGATAAACATAAGTATTAATTATGCTGCACCTATTTCTTTGGACACTAATGAGTTCATAAGTTAGGGTTTTTGTGTGTGTGTGTGTGTGTGTGTGTGTGTGTGTGTAAACTTTTGTTGGCAAAGACAGTTTTGGAAAATACCAAACGAAATATGAGTGCTACAGCAGTTTAATGATTATTGGTCTGGAAAGACCTTGATGTAGAATTTAATTCCCCAAATCCATACAGCAATATCTTTTGGATTCACTTGAACACGATCATTTCTAAATTATTCTTTATAAACTGTGTACTAGAGAAGCACTAAACTACCGATTACTTTTTTCAGTTTAATGGATTTTTGTTCTATCGAATGCAGCAAATGTATTCTATCTTCAGTGACAACATAGTATCACTGAGCAAGCTTGTCCCTTAAATGTTCTTTTCTAAGATGAATTTTTGAAGCAAGGATAGAACGGTCCATTAAACATTTTCTGGTTATATAGGAATAGGAAACTCCATGATTTATCTTTGGCCATATAGCCTGTGAATCTAGTTCTGGGCTTCTGGATTTCTTTTCAGTCCTACTTCTGTTTTAAAGTCTGATTATAGCCATTCTTGTAGCTTTCTCCATAAGGAATATTCTTCTCCATAGAATTAGAAGGAGGTGTTTCTGCAAAGGTGACTGTAAAAGGAGTCAGTCGTATTATTTAGTCTAATCCAAATATTGATTGGCTGGAATGATCATAAGAGTTTTAAAAATTGCTTTGTACCTTGACTTTTTTATTCTCCTTTTATCTGGCAATTTGATATTTTTTTCCAGTTGAATTTTAAACTATATTCCTGCCAAATACAACAGCTCTTCAAATGGTCTAGCACGTTCACCTTTAGTTCACATATTCTTTGTGCATATGCTTCTGTGATTTCAAGGACAGGTGACAGAATACTGGTTTTGTTTGGGGATAGTAGGTGTTACAGTTAGACACAAAGAGGCAGGTGTGTGGTTAATTTGTTTGTATTCTTTTCTGTAAATAAAGCTGGTGTGGTTTTTTTTTTTAAATCTGTGAAGTTAAATATTGGAATTAGCCATACTCTGTAGATCCCCAGCATTTCATTCAGTATTGCATCTCTCAGGTTTATTTGAGGCTGTAGAAAGAAGAAGGATGGCTAATTTTTTTTCTTTCCTGTCCTTGGTACTTTATGCAATGAGACCAGAATGCTGCTATTCTAAAAATAAAGAGCAAAATAATCTTTGAAAGCAACTGCTTATAGAAATGTGAAGCCATATTTTTCTTTTAACTCATAAGTAATCAAGCTAACTCAATAAATTGTGATACTCACTTTGATTTATGTTGGAGTTTTCTGTTGCCTAATATTTAAAATACTTTGCTATTAAAATGGAAGTCCTTTGTGTCTCTAAACTTACATTCATCTTTTAAAATGTTGATTTAGCTTTCTGTAGAACTGTTCAGTGAACTAGAATCTCAGGGGAGGCTTTTCATTTTCAATGAAATTAAAGCTTATAGATGTTACTAGTTTTAAGCAGATGACTACCTCTTCCATGGTTTCTCCTGTTTAGCTGCCACAGAATTTAAACGTCAATTTATATAAGTTGTATAAAGTTGAGGGTACGGCTTTATCTGTATGTTTTATGTATATTAGAATTGTGTTCTCCCAAACAGATTTGAGATCCATTTTGATATTCGGAATGCCCAGCAAAATACAAAGAAAGTTATGGTTCTGCTTGGGGGGGGGCAGGGGAGAAGAGAGAGAAAGTTTTTCTTCTTTGTTTCTTGAAAGAGTCTAAAACGAACTTGCAAGAATTCTGCAAGTTCCTTTTAGAACCGGTTATTCCTTTTTATCATTCACTCTTAAGTGTCCTAAAATATGATGGAAATGAATGGGTAAATTATACACAGTATTAGCTAGCCAATGGAACTATGTTCATCTTCTGTAACATTTGTATTACAGTCAAATATAAATTACTTTAGTTTAACAAAGGACATGTTTTCTTTACTGCAGAGACCTTATTAAGAAGCTGCTTGTGGTTGACAGGACAAGACGATTAGGAAATATGAAGGTCAGTATAAAATATTAGGTGTAACGCAGAATATAGCATGAGGTTGGAAGAATTCTGTAGGAAAGATGTAGAACATAAAGAAAGATGTAGGAACACGTAGAACATATCTTCTAAAAAGCCATAGGCCTTTGTTTTTGTAAGCATGAAATAGAAATATATTTTCCCATACATTACTTCAGTTGTGCAATCCTAAATGCAAAGTTTAACTGTGTATTTCTGGAAGTCATACTCCTATTTGTCTAGATAAGTGCTGTCCTTCATGATAGTTTCCCTTCCTCCTCATCCCCCTCCAAAAAGAAAGAAAACACAAAACAACAACAACAACAACAAAATCCAAACCAACAAACAAAACGCTACCTGTTTACTGATTAATTTGGAGACTTATCTTAGACTAGAAACATGGTGCTACGTGTAGGACAGAGGACCAGCTGATTTGACTCTTTCTTTAGGGTTGTTTAATCCCAGAAGGAGCACTAATCAAATTTCAGTTTAAAAATTATTTTAAAGAATATAAGTGGTGTTGTAGTACCATGCTGTCTGGTCACTGTCCTGGTAGTTTGGTGGTGGGGCTGATTAAGCACAGTCGAATAGTCATCCACCAGGAAGAGTTACTCATCCTATTCTGAACAGACTTCTGAAGGCAGTAGCTTACTACTCAAAACTATGCTCACATCTCTCAGCTGGCATTCCAGCCTACCTCGGAAATACATCTGTATCTGTGATACCTCAAGGAGGAACACAAAGCAATCCTGTGAATTCTGTGAGATGTCCTGATGTTGTACTGCTTATCATGCCAAGAGGATGACAGCTGTATTACAAGATTATTTGGTTCTGCAGCCGTGCAGTAGCTATGGTTGGTGGGGCAGTGAGAAGTTAGCTGCATGTGAGCTCAGGAACTTTAACAGACTAGCCAGAGCACCACACAAAATTCAGTGTGGGTTAATTTACCCTTCTGGCAGAGTAAATTAATCTTATATTTAATAACTTGTTATTGTTGTTACAGTGTTGCAGATACTTAAATTAGCTTGTGTAATCTTTTGCTTCTTTAGCGAGAGTTAAAATTTCTATTTCTCTGGGCAGGGGAGGTTAAAAGTTTGCTTTTTTGCACAAAGCAGAATTTATGGTGCTCATAGGTGCAGAAGGTAAAAGATGCAGAGTCATCCCGTCTCCTTGAACATATCGATCTAAGTATAGATGCTAGAACCCTCTGTCCAAAGTTCATTTTCAGAGCCTTTTATGGCACAAATTTAGACTGGTAAGAAAAGCTTGGAAGTAAACATTTTTCTTATCCTTCAGAATTCTTTGCAGCGTTTTTCAAGGGGACAGCAGGGAGATTAAAACCAAACTTTCATAAGCTGAAAATCTAGAAAGTTACTAACCAGTGAAAACTTTTATATCTTTTGACAGTTTTGAAGGAAAACAAAAGCAAAACTTTGGTTTATTCAAACATGGGGTTTGGGAAATGTGTTTGGCTGGCTTTCAAGTTTTTTTTTTTTTTTTTTTAGTCTGTGGTTGTTTTGGTTTATTTTGAGGTTTTTCCCTAGAATTGGCTAAAATGTCAAAATCAAAAATAGTTCTAATTCGAAGCAGGATTTGGGGAGGGGGCGGTAGGTGAGTCATAAGTCTGATCCTTCTCCACAATCATCGTTGGTTTTAAAAGATTTAAATCCCATTGGACATTTTCTGGTGAAGCATTCAATCAGATCTGCTTTTGAGGGAACTAAGTGACAAATTACTGTTCTTGTTGCCTCTTTGGATATGAGCATGGGTAGTCCCACACCATATAAATCTGAAAAAAAATGTTGTGTGGTATGCTTCCTTCCATGGAGCTGCATGTAGTATGAGCTTAAGTGCTGTGCATTGAAACTGTGCTGTGGTCAGGCCTGAGACAGAGACCCAGCTGGTTTTCCCCAGTGCTTAATGCCTTGAGAATGAGTCTGTGCTTGAACCAAGCTTCATTCGGGGAAGGGGGAAGACTTTTTTGTTCTTTATATACATAATCAAAGCAGTCAGCCCATAGAGAATAACCATTACAAGACAAATATGTCGTTAACTGTATATCTAAAATAAAAACAAATGGTTTTATATATATATTTTTGTAACAGTACTGAGAGCCTCTTGTTGTCAGCACTAAACATCTGTAATATTTGATAGAACTACTTGCTTCTCAGACATTATTTTTATTTAAGACACCATCACACCGTCAACCCTCCGTTGAGTTTTTTTTATTAGTGTAAGAATTAAAAAGTATATCTGAATAAGAGGCATTCTCTAAAATGTTGGAGAAAATAGAAGCGAGTAGAACAGCAGTGAATGGTTTTGTGGGTATTTTAAAGCCTATTTTTGATCTCCCTTGGGTCGGGAGAATGCTGCTAAAAAGAAAAAAAATAAAAGTTTGGATCTTCTTGCTGGAGCTTGGGATCTGCTAGGGAAATAACACTATGAATTTATCCTGTAGAATCTTTTAATGATTATCACCTGAGAAAAGAAAAAAAGGTTAGACGGCCTATTAGTCTGCCTTGATACCATTTCTTACGATGAAATAGATAGTTTGGCATACATATACCTTACTAAATATTTAGTTTGATTTTTTTCTTTAAAGAATGGAGCAGATGATGTGAAGAGACATCGATGGTTCAGGTCTATAGATTGGGACGCTGTACCTCAAAGGAGACTAAAGGTATATTCTGCAAAATACTCTATAGGACATCGCAACAAGAAATCATTGTTCATTTAAGCTGATCTGTTGAGGTTTTGAGGCCTGTTGCATCTGTGTGTTCGTATGTGTGTATGAGCACATGTGTATGTGCACACATCAATAATTACATGCATTTTTCCCTTTCACACTGCTGAATTAATTATATGAATGTCTGCTTGTCTTTTTGTCTGTATATAAAATGTCTAAAAAAAAAAAAAATAATCCCTGCTTTATTTTTCTGAAGTTGATCAGTTAATAAAACACTTAATTTTCTGGTTTAGGGTTTTGTAAGTAATTACTTGTTGTAGGTGGGTTTTTTTTGTTTGAGGGGGAAGGAGGGATGGTGGTTTGGTTTTATTATCTTTTTTTTATTATTTTTTTCCTTGCCCTTATATCTGTGAAAGTGTTTTACTCTGGGCTTTAAATTTTGGTGCCAAGTTCAATTCAGGTAAATGTTTTAATGAAATGTAAAGCATATGGGAGTAGGAGGAATAGGGAGGGTGAGAGAGCAGGATTTATGAATGTAATTCTAACATGCTTTTTAACAACGCTGAATTCTACTATTATATGAGGGCAGATGTTTGCAAAAGCTATCAACACTGCAAAACACTTTTTAAAGTCCTTTGGAAATAAAACCGCCTTCTTTCTTTTCTTCCTCAAAGTTTTAACTAGTCCGATTTCTTACAGCAGTGGTTTTTCAGTAACATAGGTTGCCATGTGCAGTCAATCAAGTACCGATTAAATGTTTAGTTTTCCTTCTCTCTGCATTAGTTTCTTACAATGGATTTCTGGCTAAGTATCTTAAATTGAGTTCTTGCAAAATAGATAAGAGATGAAAGTTATGATAACAGTTACCCACACTACTATTAAGACTCTTAGTTGACAGGAACCTAACGTGATTACACTCCTGTTTGCTCATAGGCCACAGAAGAGCGGAGGAGTGAGGAAGGAGAGTAACAGTTTATACTGTAAGGGCACATGCTTGGAAGCTTAGTTGTGGTAATCTTTTGCAGTAGTTACCTTCAGTCTACAAAGCAGTTAGAACTTGAGTGCTAAATAAAATAGGTATCTGTATTATAAGTGTTTTTAACCAAAACGTTTAACTGCAATACAGACAGTGTGTTGGAACACGTCTGTGTCACTGCAAGCTTCTTTCTCTCATGCCATTCATTAATAGTGAAAAAGGTGAACTTTAAAAATATGTTCCCTTTTTGTTTAATCAGTCTTTTACAGAGTTTCTGCTTTAATATGATGGAGAGGAGCTCATTGAGGAAACTACTAAGATTGTTGTTGTGCTTGTTCTGACTAGCCTCCCATAGTACCGAAAGTATCCAATGATGGGGATACTTCCAATTTTGAAGCTTATCCTGAAGATGACTGGAACAAGATGCCTCCAGTACCCCCTAAAGACCTAGAAATTTTCAAGAACTTCTGAATGCAACATGTACACTGGGCGAGGTATGTCCAAATGTGAGGAATCCTCTTCAAAGCATTGCAGGTCTGTCAGTGAGAGCCGTAAGCAGAAATTACATCTTCTGATTGATGGTTGGACTTGATGAACTTGAAGTTCCCTTCCAACCTAGACTATTCTATGATTCTATTCTATGATTCATAACAGTGATTAATACTTCCTTATAGCTTGTAAAACCAACATGAATCACAGCAATAGGTAGCATAAAGTAAACTGTTGAAATAAAACTTTGTAAAGCAGGCTTACGGAATGACAAAGGTAATTTATCTCACAGGCTTTGGTGTTCTACAGTGATGAAGAGTTATTTGTTTACAGATATTTAAATCCTTCTGTCCTTAAAACTTTTAAAACAGTGTGTTAAAAGCAGATATCTAGATCGATTTGAGAGATAAGGAAATGTGATTGCAAGATTTTTATATGAAGAACGACGACTTCAATTAGACAAATAAGATTGTCAGATTAATTCTGTACCCTGCATTCTGTCTTATAACTGTGATAGTTTAATACTTGTCATTCCATTCACACGTTCAACATTGTATTTTGTGTTCCTTTCTCATTATTTTTTGTCTTAGAAACTGGAAAGATATTGAAGTGCTAAGAGCAAGTCTGAAGAACAATGGAGTTCATACATAAACGAAGACTTTCTTTGTGGATAAGAATGATACTGCATTCAGATATGTGTATTAGTATATAGTAAATATCTAAAGAAGGCAGGCAAGAATAATTTTTGCTGTAAACATTTGACATTAGTAAATTGTAATATTGGTAGTCTACTCCGAAGTAGACTCACTAAAATGGTATATTTTAGGATTATTTTTTTTTTAACTTATGGTTTAGTTAAGTTTCCTGCTATTCCCAGATCCTTTTTGCATAGTTAGCTCATAGACTTAATTTTATAAGTTTATACTAAACTTGTGTAATTAAAAGCACAAATTAGTATATATGTATATAATGAATACAATACAACTAAAGCACAGAAACTGTGCAAAGATGTAAATTTTTGTACTTTGCAGAGTCTATGATTTTTATTTTTCAAATAATGTTTTTCAAGAAGTTCTCTAGGAATAAAAATCTTAAAAGGATAAATGAGTTTTTCATCATCTTATATACATTTTATAATTCTTTGTAAAAAATAAAAATAATTAAGTTTTAAAAAAGATTTGTACCTAAAATTTCCAATGCCTCACACTTGCAACCATAGTACTTGAAAGCAGAAAGACAAGGGCATGTTTTATTGTTGACTAAGATGCATCTTATGGCTAATTTATGAAGTTCTGTTACAGTCTTGTCTCTTTACAAACCAGGATATTGAGTGATTGTACACTGTCTGAAATGAGATTCCTCACACAAAGACTCTCGGTAAACATGCAATTCGGTGCATACTGATAAAAGGGCTCTAACTGCCTCTTACAAGGGTTGCTCTCTGTCAAGCTTGTTGTCTTCTCCAAATGTAAAGCATGAGCCATAACAGACTTTTTTCATTATTGAAATAGTTGTTGTTGAATGCTTGGCACTTCAGATTATCAGAGGGAAGACTGAATATATACTGGAGCCTGATTTTTCTGCTCCTGCTTTTGGAAAAGTCCTAGACTCCGCTGCCAGGAATTCCATATGTATAGAGTTCAAACCTTAAATGTTAAGAGTCTCTTTTTTCATCCTGTACTAACATATTTCTAGCAGCTCGAGTACACTGTATTTAGGAAGTATTTGTGATACTGCTTCATTTTAAGTAGCACCACGTATCAGTATGTGCATATGTATGTATCTATGTACATGGATACATATAAACATGAAGGTACATTGTATAGAAGTCAGGTTCTTTTTTTAGGGTTTTTTCATGTTACATATTGTGATACTTGTGTTAATATAGAGGAATTGATTTTGAAGTGCTTCAGTTTCAAAATGTAATTACATTCTTTCAGATATGGTGGGTTTAGATAAAATTTAGTGAAATTATGATATTTAGACCAAAATTTCTTTTTTTTTTTGAAAGCACATCAGCTCACTGGTGTTCCACTACTATGACTGATGGTTCTACGTAAAACTGTTTAAGTAGATCATAGACAGTTCCTCCCACAAACTGCTCTCCACATTTTTGATCTGAAATGCCATAAGAGCATAAGAAATGTAGGCCAAAGATTCATTTTTCTCAACTAAATCCTGAGTGCTTATGAAGTAGACATTCTAGTAATCACTAATGAAATTACCATGTTTATAATTTTATGACAGATCTGCGGCAGAATTTTCCTTGTGGAAAAGTCACCTCCATTTTCTTTTGTTTAGCTCTAAATAGTACAGAAGTGCTGGTGAGAACTTTCAATCTATTTCTTCATAAAGCAAGTCTAACTTTAAGAGATTGCATAACTCTTTGCAAAAATGCACAATGTGTCACAAAATCAGGATACCTCAAAGTAGCAATTCTGGAATATCACAAAGTTTTCTTGATGTTATGCAAGTGCCACAAGTCGACGGCCCCAGCTGCCAGTCAGTAAATACTGTGTAGGAATGCATAATGAAAAACAGGAAAATCCATAGAAAATTATCCTTTTAACTTGGTAAAAATACCTTATTCTCTTGAAAAAATGAATCTGGTCCACTGTATTTGTATATGTGGAATTGGTTATTCCAAATCAATCAGAAAAACTGAAGCACATAAAACACATTACTTTCTTTAAGGGGACCAAGCACAGTTCAGGGTGTTGGGGTTTTTTTTAACGTGTAAGATTACAGTATTTTATGGAATCTGTGTACTACAAAACCAGTTTCTTATTTAAAAATGTACATACTGAAACAAGCAAGTGTGCTAAATATAATTTTTTTTTTCAAATTAAAAATGCACTGTTTAAGTCTTCAAAACTGAGGAAATGAAGTTGAATTTGACTAGTGTGCCACATTGGTGGTTAGAAGTTTTGAATGCTTGAACAACAGGAGATAGTGGATTTTCTTTTTATGAATCTTATCCATTGCTGGCAGTGGATGCACTGACACTCATTATGATAGAGACTAAAGAAATGAATACAATCTTATTAGTAATGCTAATCCATTGACTTTACATTGTTTCCAGAGCCATGTGTACATATGCCCAACTACTGACCTCGTCAACATGCTTTCTAGTACAAAACTGCTTTCAATTTTTTTAAAGTCCTTCACTAAAAAAAAAAAACAACAACAAAACATTTTTGAAGCATTATTTTAAGTGATCAGTTATTTTCTCTACAGTCTTGAACTTAATGAGCTGTTATTACCTGCCCATTTCATTTATTTGCACAAGTGAGTCTGTTTTATTTTAAGTCTTTGCTTGGGACTTCACGGCCCACTAATGTAGTTCTCACACAGAGTGCTCACACAGAAGTCCCCAGATACACACTGCACTAAGAACTATGAATTTATGTTTTTCTTAAGCAGACTAGAACACTTTCTTACTTTCTATTCAAGTATGGTATTCTCTGAAGTTCATCTTATTATGGTTGCTTCTGTTAACATGCTTTTTTGCATATAGACTGTTGCATAAGGACTGTTTTCTTGCAAGAGCCCATAGGCCTTTGGTATTCTGCTTCGGTGAACAAGAATGTTAAACATTAAAAAACAGCCTTTATTTTTGAGTTTTAGATACCTATATTTTTAATTGCCCGATTTGAGGTTTTAAGTGATAAACGTGCATTGTAAACTCAATTGCCTTGTAACCAAATGATATAAATGCTTCATGATTTCAATGGAGAACATGCTGTAGATTTTCCTGTAAATTAGCTTGATCAATGAATATGTGTGCTACTGAGCTTTAACTAATGTGATCTTCCACTGTAGAAAGTCATTGTTAATGGATCAAATATAGGTACTAAACTATGTTTAAATGGATGAACAGGGATTTTGCAGGTTTGAAAGCAATTAAGATATGGCTGTTCCTCAGCCCATCTGCTTGCCATTCAGAAGAGTTGTGATGCAGTGCTTCCTATGCTATAGAATTATTTTTCAGCTTTCAATGACTGTAGCATGATTCCTTTTTGTACTGTACTGTGTACAGACTTTCCATGTTTTGCACTTTTCTATGGCAAACCTTGACTGCTTTATAAATACTCTGTTGTATAGTAAGTAGTGGTAGTGGTAGCAGGCATTTGTGTACTGCATAATCGTTTGAACTGCTAGACTTGCGAGATTAACTTGGACTAATGTTGTATGTTGCTGGTTGCTTGTTGTAGCTCACATGTATAAGTACTGTTCAAAGTTACAAAGTCAGCCCTCATTGCACAACGAAAATCACTGTGATCTGTACATAAACCCTAGTAAAATTTTATTGCTGTTTAATTTATGTAATATCTGTCAAATCTGGATTCATTTAATAAACCTTTATATCTTTTTAAATGTTTAAACCTAGTTTGCTTCCATTTATGTAGGGAGGAGGTAGAGGTTCTTCATCCAAAAAAAATGATGAACTGGAGAGAAGTAGAAAAACAACTGTTTCTTCTTTTCAGGAGTTGGGTCTTTCCAGAGCAAGACACAAGTGGTGGAATGTATTTCAGTTGGCGTGGAAGAAGCACCAAAAGTGTATTTTAAATTCGTTTCAGGTAGTGCACCGATAATGAAAAGTGTTAAATCAGACTTCTCGTTAAACTTTGATTATATGACCCTAATTGCTTTGACATTTACAAAATTTAATGTCCTGAACGCTGTCCAGAACACTCATTTCAATGTTTCTTTAAGCGTCAAAAAATATTCTTATGATGTCAGGCACACCTAACTAAATCTTTATTTCATCTTCCATCAGGAACTTCAAAAGTCTGTTTTTAACAAAATTCTTTTAGCTGTTGGTGTTCAATTACTTCTCCCAGGTCAATTGTATTTTATTTCTTATCCATTAGATAGCTTAATCTTCCAGAGATAATTATGTAGGCATAGAACCAACTGGACAGAGTTTGGACTAGTTAAGGGTTGTTTTTTTTCAAAAACAACTTTGTGCTTTCTTTCTGCCTGGCTTAATTCTAAGTTTTCTGCATTGATTTTTTTTTTTTTTTTCCTTATAAAACCACTATGTCATGTGCTTCAAGAAACTGCTAATGGAAAGTGAAGGAACACTGCAATGGGCCCTGGCAAGCTTTTAGTCATGTCTTTGACATGAATCAAAAGAACTGCTCAGTTGAAACATACCAAAATTTTGAATGTTAGCAAGTGTCCAGGGTGTTTGTAAAGAATTTGGTTTGGCATCTTGTTCTTACTCCAGCCTTTTGCCATGTGGTAGAGTGTTTGTACATTTGTTCTAACCCGAGTACTGTATCTTTTTTGACTGCACGTGTAACTCTGGATCTTACCCAACAAAGGCCGTTTTAAATACACTTTTTCACTCATGCGGGGCAGGTAAGTTTTGCTGGTGTATAACTGTGCCTGGACCATACTCACATAGCGTTACTCACTACTCCCAAATCTGTCTCACTTTCATGGTTCATTAGCCCTTTTTAGTGCAAAATGCTGTTAAAGCAACATTTGACAAGAACCCACCCTTCTGTGACCCACTGTTAACTGGTAACAGTATGACATTATAAGAAATGGTTGAAAGCAACTGGCACTGTTGCAACTCTGACTGGCCCAATACTTTGTGAATTGGTATATAATTCACATACTGAGCTCTTCCTCCTGTGAACTCCTGCTAGCTGCTACAATCTCAGCTTCAGAATTTAAGCAGCTCTTCACAGGGGTGGTAAAGGGTCTTCTGCTGTCCTAATGGAAGAGTCTAGCTTTTCTTCTTTCTTCCACTCTTTTCCATCTACCCTTTAAGAAATGCCACGCATGAATGTATTTCAGCTTCATATTTCTCCTTGAAACCAGGACTATTGTAAAATTTTACCAAGCTGAATTGTAAGAATTTCTTTCAATATGTCCAAATATTTTTCTAGTCTTGTGCAGGAATATTCCAAAGCGTGACAACAGAAAATTTTAGCAGTAAGTCGGGCTATGTTATACCAGCTTTGACTTGTGGTATGGTTTTATCTGAATTGCTGCATTTGTTTCAGTGCC